GGATTTTTTTTTTTATTTTTTTTGAAATCGGATTTTTTTTATTTAAATCAGATTTTTTTTTAATAAAATGCTTTTTGAGGAAAATATATTACCATCCAAAGGTTATTCCATCATGAAATAAAGATTAGTTTTTTAATTATGTAGAATAAGGCTGTATGTGTTTACTTGTTTTGGTAAATAAATTCCATGAATCCATTCACAATGTCATGCTCTTCCAGAGGTTTTTGTAAGATTATTGGGCAGTTTCTCTGCCTACAAGATATTATCACAGATGATCGGTTTACTTTTGCAGTTCTCAAAACTGAATCTGACTCAGCGGAGATCACAGGCCTCTTCTTCACAGCAAAAATGTTATAACATGAACAGAGTTAAGAAAAAGACCTTCATCCTAACTTCTACAAACCTCTGAATACAGAATCAGCCCCTCCAGTGCGAAGTTTCAAGAAGTTCAGTGAATAGAATAGAAACAATATTTTTCTGATTGTTTGGAGTGGAATAGATCTGCACAAGAAGAAAGTGAAACTAAGTGTGAGGGGGAGGGGCTGACAGTCTAAGTTTCTTAAAATATATATATTTTGTTTAGCCAAATTAGTTACCAAACATGGATGTTTAAGCAAATCACATCTGCTGGAATGTTATTGTTTCAGATGAATAAATCTATTTAAATTGTTATTATTAAGGTAATGATTATTTTTCTCCTTTCTAAGTACAACAGAAAAGTTGTCCAAATATGAATGATTAACCTATTAAACTGGGGATAAAAAAAAACTAATATGAAAAGTTGTTATTCTAAAAATCTTCATCTACTTGTATATTAAAGTTACACCAGCAAGAATTAGTCTTTATGTAGAAAACTAGGATTTAAATCAAGCCTTACTGACTAGTGATTTAAATCAAATCCACCCTGATCTTTTACTATTGTGGCTCATTAAATATTCCTTTTATACTGCACTTAGAAGGCGCCTCTCTTCTCATCATTTTTTAACAGCCAACCAGCACATAATGCCTTTGTCTCTCCGCCACTCAATTTGGTTGTCAGTAACAAAGCGAGAAAGTCCCTGTGTAATCTCCAGGTTGCATTTGGAGGTGGGGGACAAGAAGTCAGTATTCTTACCCTGAGAGGGCTCCTAAAGTGAGGAATATGGGAGCTGCCCAAACTGAACTGTAATCTACCTACATTGCATCGAGAAATGGAGAACCAGTAATTATTATTATTATACAGTATTTATAAAGCGCCAACGGTTTGCTCAGCGCTTTACATTATAATGGGAGACAATACACGAGACAGTACAGTAACAATACGATTCAATACATGAGGGGTTCAAGGGCCCTGCTCCTTGAAGCTTACAATCTAGGAGAGAGGGGATAGTGATACAGGAGGAAACAACTGTGGGGCATGAAGTGGTAGGAAGAGTGGAGGAGTTCAGTAATTAGCTGAGGGCAGGGTAGGCTTCCCTGAAGAGATGGGTTTTCAGGGTGCGCCTAAAGGTGAGGAGGGTAGGTGATAGTCTGATGGATTGGGATAGGGAGTTCCAGAGGATAGGGGAAGCCCTGGAGAAGTCCTGGAGGCGGGCATGGGAGGAGGAGACCAGGGAACTAGAGAGTAGGAGGTCTTTGAGGAGTGGAGAGTACGTTTTGGGTGGTATTTGGATATCAGGTCAGTGATGTAGTTTGGGGCAGTATTATGAACAGCTTTGTACTTCAATGTTAGCATTTTGAATTTTATCTGTTGGGCAATCGGAAGCCAGTGAAGGGATTGGCAGAGAGGGGTGGCGGATATGGAGCGGTTTGTGAGGTGGATGAGTCTGGCCGCAGCATTCAAGATGGACTGAAGTGGGGATAGCCTGCAGTGAGGTAAGCCGATGAGGAGGGAGTTGCAGTAGTCAAGGCGTGATATGATAAGGGAGTGAATGAGTTGCTTAGTGGTTTCCGGGGTTAGGAACGGACGTATTTTGGAGATGTTGCGGAGGTGAAGTCTACATGAGTTAGTCAGCGATTGGACCTGGGGCTGGAAGGACAGATTGGAGTCTAGGATGACACCTAGTGCTCTGGCTTGAGGGGAGGGACTGATGGTGGAGTTCTTGTAATGATTGAGCAGCCCCAATCCTCCTCTTCTCAGGTCCCCCACTGGTGCTCCTGGTTCCTCCCAAGCCGCCCACCTCATAGAGTGTCCACCATGGCAAGCCACTTGCTATGGGGGCACTTGTACAGGCTTGCTCCAGAAAAATACAAACTCCATGCAGGTAGCCCTGGTGGGACTCAACCCACACATGCACAGCAATGACTGCTCCACCATATGAAGAACAAGAAGAAATACTAGATGCTTGTTCAATTTTAGATATATTTTTCATCACATATACAAAACAGTAATAAAAATAAAATGTCAAATTCATTTTTTGGATATTATTTACAAAGTAAACCAAATGACAAAAAGCAAACTTGTCATCACAGCAAATAAATCAAACCATCATAAACACTTTTTCAACCTCCGGTGTCCAAAGAAATCCCAAACTGAGGAAACTCTGGAATCTCCAGCTCTGAAGTCTGAATTCAGAATCTCTGACATTTTTTTTCAGTTTAATAATCTGATCACCTCCAGCCAACAGAGGTCCTTGAGTTGCTGGAGGCCATGCCGAAAACCCTTCTGGATAAAGGTCAGCATTTGCATACTGTGTGCCAATAGTTAGGAGTTTCCTGGGGCATTCCGAAAGAAAAGTAAGAAGAAGGCATCTCTTCTAAGTAAGTATTTTGGACAGTTCAAACTTGTCACTTCAGTAAAGACACCACATTGCTTCCTTGCCTTCAAGATCAAGCATAACATTGGTTCTTATCAGTGTGCAGTAGGGGCACGCCACCATAATTCTGGCTTCTGGCTGGGATGGCTGGCTGTAAGGTACCCCTGCTGGTATGATGGGGGTCCTGTGGGATCTTCCTGTGGAAAAGAAATGAATCAAGCATTTGCTGGATAAGGTGGAGTCGGGAGTATTTCCCTGGTATAGAGGGTTCCAAGGGGCCCAGTGCCTCCTGATTTGAACTATGCTACCTTGTCTGGCTGAGGGTTGGGAAGGCAGAGGGCCTGTGGTGTTAAAGGAGAAGTTCTACCCGTTTTTGGGGTGGAACATGTAACATGTTCCCACTGCCGGAGTCACTGCCTGACCCCCTGCATCTAGTCACATCTGTCACTATTTTTAAAACAACATCAACTTCTGTGAATGGAAACTGAGAAGTCATGACAGTTTTTGCACCTGTCGACTTGTAGTTCTCAATGAACTACCACGGCACTGTTGAGAGCTCTGGTAGTTCATTTTCTCTTCCTATCAGTGTGTATCTGCCTGCCTGTTTGAGGTACGAGCGCACAGATACACTGACAAGTCTGCAGGAGCCCTGCGTGGCACCCGCGATCAGGGTGCAATGCTCTCTAGGCTTCAAGTAAAAATAAATAAATAAATGCACTTTTACCTGCAAAAATGTGCATTTATTTATTTTTTTATTAGGTGAACTTATCTTTTAAAGACCCCCTAGAAGCGGTGCCCCTCGGGTGCCAAAGTAGAACTATAGGTTTGGGACCACACTGTATGAAACAGCGCTTGGCTACGACATCTAAGCTTCTTTTCTGCACCATACCACATGGACTAGGTCTTTTGGTCAAGACCTGGGCAATTTTTGTTACCAGCCCACGAGGCCTAGCCATTGCACTGGCATCTTTTTACATTTTCTATTTATTTTTCTCATGTGTGCACCAATTGCAATTATTTATGTTTTTTTCAAGATTGTTGGCTGTGCATTACTGGGCCTACCCTGAAGTCTAGGGGAAGGATGTGTAGCCATTAAGCTCCTTCCTCCCCTGCCTTGCAGGGAAGGGGGTTCCTTTTGGGAGAGCCCCTCACCTAGTACTCATTGGTCGGCTTCAGCTGATCATGAGCAGTGGGGTCCACTGGGCCTTTTGGCTAGGTGAACCTGAGTGTGCCTGAGAGGGGGGTGGGGTTCAAGGAACAACCCTTCCTCTTCAGACCATTTGACACATTCTAAGGACACTTTTTTGTGTGTTCTAGAGCAGTGGACTCCACACTGCAGTTCGGGGGCCCTTTGCTTGCTTTTATCTGGTTCTTGAGGCACTTTTCCTCCCACTGATACAAGACACTATTCCTCCCGCTGACACCAACAATGGGGCATAATTTCTCCTACTGACACTGACATCAGCAATGGGGCCCATTGACACCAGCAATGGGGCCATATTTCTCCCACTGACACCAACAACAGGGCACTATTCCTCCCACTGACACCAATGATGAAGCACTCAAGCTGACACCAACGATAGGGCACTATTCCTCCAACTGGCATCAGCAACGGGGCACTATTTTTCCCCCCAATACCAAAGATGCATTGTTTACTCCCACTGACACCAAGACAATTTCAACTCCCAATGGAATGGCCACAAACCAGCCCCCTAAAGTGTGAAGGACAGTAAATTGGCCCTTTGTTTAGAAAGTCTGGAGACCCCTGTTCTAGAGCACTTTTTTGGTTCACTTATGGTATTTTGCTTTTATGGACCACAATATGCATGGACAGGACCATATTATTCTATGTATGGTCAGGACCACACTATTCTATATATGGTCAGGACCACACTATTCTATGTATGGTCAGGACCACACTATTCTATGTATGGTCAGGACCACACTATTCTATGTATGGTCAGGACCACACTATTCTATGTATGGTCAGGACCACACTATTCTATGTAGACTGTGTGAGCTGAGTGAAACAAGGAACTGAAATTGCACAAAAACACAAAATCCACATTATCTGACGTTTCCTGAAGCTCTTGCGTTTAAGGCGGCGCATTGCAAATGGTCTTTTACATAGGAGACCACATATCCAGGCAGATACAGGCCCCTGGGGAGAGCTGTGATTTGTCTTTACTTTTATAGAGAATCGCATGAAGTGAATGTCCTAGAGGCTGGTGTACGCTGGCAGTTCATATCATGTGGCTTCTGGCATTAAAGAATGGGGTCTGTCCCATTCCAGTCTACAACAGCACCTTTCCATCTGAAAAACAAGGCCGTGAGAAGTTCATGTTAAAGCTGAAGTTGAATCCATTTAAATATTTTGTCCCCCCCCCATCAGTAGGCTAAAGACATTTTTAAATAACCCCCACACCCCCCTACACAAATCAGTGCTACAGCCGCTGATTGAGCCACTTCTATCCATCAGGTCAATTGCACAGATGTCAAAAGACAAACCGACTTCTGTTCAGCTGCAGTGCCCACACATGGATCGAAATTGGGCCGGTCCCTGCTCAACTGACCGAATTTTGATTCATCTATGACCACCTTTAAAGAAATGAAATCCAATGAATGAAAAGGGATGGTTAGATTGGGTAGGAAAGAGCTAGGTGTGGCTTGAAGTCCTCCAGCCAAGAAATGACGCAGGATCTATTTGGCTGGCTGCAGCTTCTAATCCACATTGTGAGATGCTCACCGTGTGAAGTAAAGGAGAGGAGCCCACCCACAGACACTGAAGGGGGGGAAACCAGCAAGACACCCAGTGCGGTAAACAGAGGGAGAGCCCTGCAGCCTCGTGTCCCCTCCCAACAGCAGACAGTCCACTCTCAGAAGCCAAAATACGGTACTGTATATACAAACAGCAGAGTTTGCAGAGTCTCCCCAACCATCCCAACAACAGCACATCTCTTTAATCAAAAAATAATAATTGGCAAACAATGGGATCTCCAAAATATACATCATGCCTCCAATCACACCAAAAAGGGTTCATTTTAGGGGTGTTTGTACTGTGCTGCTATTTTAGGGCATCATGAAATGTGATAAGCAGTTAAAAATGATTATTTTTTCCCTTATATAGTAAAAAAAAAAAACAGTGATTATTAAATCCCACCAAAAGAAAGCTCTGTCTCAAAAAAAGATTTACAATTCATCTGGGTACTGTGTTACATGTCCGAGTATCTGTTATTCAAACTAACACAACACTGAAAAGTGAAAAATGGTGAAAAAACATATGAGTGAAAACAGCGGCAAAAAATATAAAATTCAAGCTGCTAAACCTCACCCTCTACTAAAAGTAATAATGAAATCAAAGTGAAAAGGTAGCGCTAATTAAACAAACTTATTTTTGTGACAGTGATGCAAAAAATATAAAAATAAATACAATAAAATATTGTGCAAATATTCATAAAAATACAAAATATTCAATAAAGTGATTCAAACAATGTCTCTAATGTCTTTCAATTCAAAAGCATCATAATTGTGCAAAACTCCATCACCAATAGAATTGAATGAGACGTCGGAAGCTTATGGAATGTGGTGACGTTACTCCGAGGCTCCACCATACGCGTTTCGTCACTTGATGTCTTCACGGAGCGGAAGGGAGACGTCAAGTGACGAAACAAGTAGGGTGGAGCCTTGGAGTGACGTCACCATGTTCCGTAAGCTGTCGGCGTCTCTGGATTTTGAAGCGGTTTTATGTGTTTGCGGTTTATGTTGGCTTATGGCACTTAAAAATGTGTGTTGTTTGGATATAAAGCTTTTAAATAAAAACTCGCTATACAGTATTACACTATTTCCTGCTCTGTTCTCTTCCTTTGAGTCTATATGGTTTACAAAGATCCATACATTATAAGAAAGACCTTCTGCTGCCAATCATCAGTCTGCAGACCATTGCTCCCAGAGCTAACACGCGATTTGCTAGTTTATAATTTTACTAGCAATTTGCTCTGGTGACTTCATTCAATTCTATTGGTGATGGAGTTTTGCACGATTGGTGGTGGATTTTCAACATTATGATGCTTTTGAATTGAAAGACATTGTTTGAATCACTTTATTGAATATTTTGTACTTTTTATGAATAATTGCAAAATTTTTTATTGTATTTATTTTTATTTTTTTTGCATCACTGTCACAAAAATAAGTTTGTTTAATTAGCGTTACCTTTTTCACTTTGATTTTCAAAATTGAAAAATGGCCTGAAAAGGAAAGGAGTACAACATGCTGGTATTGAGATGGTTTAGGTCCCACATAAAAAAGGTATTGTATGTATGATACAGGTAACCACACTAGACCTAAAAGTAATAAATATGAGCTGTACTCACTTGGTCCTGATACAGAACTCCAGCGGGGGAACCAATTCATTGTCTTCATCTTCTACATAATTCCCTGAGGTATCTGAGAAGACAGAAGGAGCAGATATGAGATGAGAGAGCCATTGCTTGTCTACAAGTCACAGAGCTGCTAATACAATAGACCAGTGATGGCGAACCTTTTTGAGGCCCGAGTGCCCAAACTGCAACCCAAAACCAACTTATTTCTTTCAAAGTGCCAACACTGCAATGAAACCTGAATATCGAGCTTTTGGTTTAGAAAAAACAACTCGTACAGTAGTGCAAACTAATTAACAGTACAGGGATGACCAGAGACTGCGGACACAGTACAGGGATGACCAGAGACTGCGGACACAGTACAGGAGATGACCAGAGACTGCGGACAGTACAGGGATGACCAGAGACTGCGGACACAGTACAGGGATGACCAGAGACTGCGGACAGTACAGGAGATGACCAGAGACTGCGGACAGTACAGGAGACCAGAGACTGCGGACCAGTACAGACTGACCGGACAGTACAGGAGATGACCAGAGACTGCGGACAGTACAGGAGATGACCAGAGACTGCGGACAGTACAGGAGATGACCAGAGACTGCGGACAGCACAGGAGATGACCAGAGACTGCGGACAGCACAGGGATGACCACAGGGATGACAGAGACTGCGGACAGCACAGGGATGACCAGAGACTGCGGACAGTACAGGAGATGACCAGAGACTGCGGACACAGTACAGGAGATGACCAGGAGACTGCGGACAGCACAGGGATGACCAGAGACTGCGGACAGCACAGGGATGACTGCTGACCTTTGGGGAGGGAGGGGGAGCGGGTACCTGAATTTGACAGGTACCCGCTCTTACTTCCGCAGAGTTTTTTTTTTTTATCTTACCTGTTCCTTTATCCAGCCGCGCGTTGTCTTCCCGGCTTCTGTAGTGTGGGCGGACAGCCGGATGCCCAGTGCGCATGCGCGAGAAGCGCTGCGCTTTGTGATTGGTCCGGCGGCTTCTGGGATCTGTCATGTGTCCCAGGTACCGCCTTACCATTCACAAAGAGCACTGCTTCTTGTGCATGCGCACTTGGGACCCGGCTGTCACGCACACTACAGCCGGGAAGACAGCGCGCCACTGGATTCTCCTGGCGTGCCCACAGATAAGGCTCGGCGTGCCGGCTGTGGCACGCGTGCCACGGGTTCGCCATCACTGCAATAGACGGTCTGGGAGCTGCACCACTCTCCAGAGACTGGCAGGATTAAAGCTGATCAAACCCAATCAAAAAAATCCCATTTACGTTTTTACATGTTAATGTAAGGTTTAACCACTGAGGAAATGGCTGCCCGCATTGTACTGAGGATGGGCGGCCCGTACAGGCACAGTGACGTATCTGTGCGTCGCTGACCTCTTCCAGGTACAGCGCCCCCCCCCCTCCCCTGCTGACTACCACTGTGATTGTACACAGTGGGAGTTTGTCAGCAGTTCCCAGCCAATGATTTATGGCCGGGACCTGCTGATCGGCTGTGTCCAATCACAGTCCAGAGCCCTGTGTTGACAATCAACAAAGGGTTCTGGACACAGGGAAAAAAGTCTTTATGTTCCTTCTGCCTGTTTTACAGGAAAAAAGAAACAGAGGTTTTTAGTAAAAAGCAGAACATATTACACACATTAACACTTAAACAATTAAAATAACTATCGCCAACTGATAAATTCCTGTAGAAACAATACTTTCTTGGCTACTCCCCCTGAGAGCTGTACCCCTTCCCAGCCAATGTAATTAGTACAGTGACAGTGTATAGTATTATCAGTGGCCACTATATTACTGTCACTGATGATGTCAGTGTCAGTTTCCACCCAGTGTCAGATTGCCAGTCGCACTACCAAAGTCCCACTATAAGTCGCTGATCGCCACCATAAGGAAGCAAGCAAAAAATTCCAGTATATGTACCATAATTTGTAGACACGATAACTTTCACACAAACCAAAATTAATATACGCTTATTGAGATTTGTTTTTTACCGAAGACATGTAGAAGAATACATTTTGGCCTAAATTCATGAAACATTTTGATTTATTTTATTAGATATATTTTATAGCAGAAAATAAAAAAATATATATTTTTTTTAAATTTCAGTCTTTTTTGTTTATATAATAAGAAAACCCAATGGAGATCAAATACCACCAAAAGAAAGCTTTATTTGTGTGAAAAACAAATGACCACGCAATTACCGGTTAAAGCAGAGCAGTGCTGAATAGCAAAAAATAACCTGGTCATGAAGGGGGTAACACCTTCCGGGGTTGAAGTGGTTAAAAAAAGATTTTATTCTTTTTTAAATTTTCAACCTTTAATAAAATAATACCTAGTGACCTGTCCTGACCTGTAGATCCTTGTTCACGTACTTCCTGTTGTCGGGTGACAACTGTTTTCCAACTGTGTTTCTGGGAGACTACAAGTGGCTGTGCAGATACATATTGCATAGGTATGTTCCACTGTTGTCACCATTAGGATGCCGATGCAGAGCAATCTTTACAAAGAGGCAGCCTGGAAGCATTCTTTATAAAGATGTTGATCTTGTTTCCTGCTTGTGTATTGGCTCCATGCTTTTTCCAAAAGTCTGCACTAAGCTGCAAACCTAATTTAAGGCATTCCTACAAATGCAGTTTTATGTTGGTCAGTCCATAGATTTATTTATTATTTATTTCAGGTACTTATATAGCGCCATCAATTTACGCAGCGCTTTACATATACAGTCATGGCCGAAATTGTTGGCACCCTTGATATTTCTCCAGGAAATCATGTATTTCTCACGAAACGTATTGCATTAACACATGTTTTGCTATACACATGTTTATTCCCTTTGTGTGTGGTATTGGGACAAAACAAAAAAAAGGGAGGAAAGAAAGCAAATTCGACATAATGTCACACAAACCTCCAAAAATGGGCTGGACAAAAGTATTGGCACCCTTTCACAACTGCGGATAAATAAGAATGTTACAAGCATGTGATGCTCCTGTAAACTCACCTGGGGCAAGTAACAGGTGTGGGCAATATAGAAATCACACCTGAAAGCAGATAAAAAGGAGAGACGTTCACTTAACCTTTGCATTGTGTGTCTGTCTTGCCACACTAAGCATGGACAACAGAAAGAGGAGACGAGAACTGTCTGAGGACCTGAGAACCAAAATTGTGGCAAAATATCAACAATCTCAAGGTTACAAGTCCATCTCCAGAGAACTAGATTTGCCTTTGTCCACAGTGCGCAACATTATCAAGAAGTTGCAACCCATGGCACTGTAGCTAATCTCCCTGGTCGTGACGGATGAGGAAAATTGATGAAAGATTGCAACGCAGAATAGTCCGGATGGTGGATAAGCAGCCCCAAACATGTTCCAAAGACATTCAAGCTGTCCTGCAGGCTCAGGGAGCATCAGTGTCAGCGCGAACTATCCGTCGACATTTAAATGAAATGAAACGCTATGGCAGGAGACCCAGGAGGACCCCACTGCTGACACAGAGACATAAAAAAGCAAGACTACAGTTTGCCAAAATGTACTTGAGTAAGCAAAAGCCTTCTGGGAAAACGTCTTGTGGACAGATGAGACCAAGATAGAGCTTTTCGGTAAAGCACATCATTCTACTGTTTACCGAAAACGGAATGAGGCCTACAAAAGAACAAAACACAGTACCTACGGTAAAATATGGTGGAGGTTCAATGATGTTTTGGGGTTGTTTTGCTGCCTCTGGCACTGGGTGCCTTGACTGTGTGCAAGGCATCATGAAATCTGAGGATTACCAAAGGATTTTGGGTCGCACTGTAGGGGCCCAGTGTCAGAAAGCTGGGTTTGCGTCCAAGATCCTGGGTCTTCCAGCAGGACAATGACCCCCAAACATACGTCAAAAGCACTCAGAAATGGATGGCAAAGAAGCGCTGGAGAGTTTCTGAAGTGGCCAGCAATGAGCCCAGATCTAAATCCCATTGAACACCTGTGGAGAGATCTTAAAATTGCTGTTGGGAAAAGGTGTCCTTCCAATAAGAGAGACCTGGAGCTGTTTGCAAAGGAAGAGTGGTCCAAAATTCCGGGTGAGAGGTGTCAGAAGCTTATTGATGGTTATAGGAAGCGACTGATTTCAGTTATGTTTTCCCAAAGGGTGTGCAACCAAATATTAAGTTAAGGGTGCCAATACTTTTGTCCAGCCCATTTTTGGGGTTTTGTGTGACATTATGTCATATTTGCTTTTCTGCCTCTGTTTTATATTTGTTCCAATACATACAAAGGGAATAAACATGTGTATAGCAAAACATGTGTTAATGCAATACCTTTTTTGTGTGAAATACTTGATTTTCAGGAAAAATATCAAGGGTGCCAACAATTTCGGCCATGACTGTATATTGTACATTCACATCAGTCCCTAACCCTCAAGGGGTGTACAATCTAAGGTCCCTAACTCACATTCATACATACACATACTAGGGACAATTTAGACAGGAGACAATTCACCTACCAGCATGTCTTTGGAGTGTGGGAGGAAACTGGAAGTACCCGGAGGAAACCCACGCAAACACAGGGAGAACATGCAAACTCCATGCAGGAGGCACCGTGGTTGGGAATCGACCCCATGATACAATTACTGCAAGGCAGAAGTGCTAACCACTAAGCCACTGTGCTGCCCAGATGATGACTTTTTGTTCATTCATCCAGAGGACTGAATGAAAAAAAAAAATGATTTCATTCTCCCATCAACTCACAATCTCCCATGGAGCTAATGTATTTTTTTTATAATGAACTTTTTATTGATTTTCAAACATTTACAACAAACAGAGTTGCATAGAAACACAGTGTGACAAACATAAAACAACAAAAGGACAGAGAAATAGGCTCATCGATGAGCGGTACATAGATAAATATAATGTCAATACATAACAGTGAATTAGCAATCATTTTCAGACAATTGAGTAGACAAGTCGGAAATGGAAGTATCCCGCGGTTCCCAAAATGCTTCAAAAGTGGGTACAGAGTTAACGTGCAAAACAGTGAAGTACTCACGAGCCGGGCCCTCTGTTTCCTCTTG